TGCTTTTAATTCTAGATCCATTATAATTATTATTTGAAGTTAAAAAGTTATTTTTATGTGTGTTTAAACAGAGGTTTCCTAGAAACACCTTCATGTCATCCTATCAGAACCATTAATGAGAAACTCATTGCTGAATTGGGCAAAGCTTTCCCTCTGAAGAGGCTGAAGTGTTCCTTCCCTTTTCTGCCAGAGGGAAGCACCAGTGATCTCACTTCCTGGAACTGTGACAGTCTGTCAGCTGCCTTTTGGATTAGCCTCTGTGAAGATAACTCAAATTCTGAGTCCCTGACTGGCGGGACAACACAAGACATGGAGGACTTTCTAGTGTTATTTTCAGAATTTAGCCTTCTCAAGGATCCTGGAAGAGACAGCAAGGAAGAAGCTCATGAAGAAATCTATGTCCAAACCAAGGTCTGTCTTAGACCTTCTCTCCTAGTTCATGTTCAGGCTGTCATCCAAGGACCAGACTTCCTCCCAGGTTCCCTGCATGTCCTCAGTGGACCTGTCTTTCGGAAGTGCCACATCTTGCCTTTCACCATGCCGGCATTTCATGAGACTTTATTTATCCTTGGGTTTAATAAAAATCTGAAGGATGGTTATCTTCAGTCACTACTGGATCACCTGAAGGGCGCTCTCGATAGCCTTCTGATTCAGACATTGCTGGAGGGCTCTAAGCTGAGCAGTTCAGTGGAATTTGTCTTTCAACCAAATGGGAAAGATTATATTATTAATGTGAAGTCTCACAATTTTGGCTCAGATTGTGCCAAGGATCTGATTATTGGGTCTGTCACTACGTCTGTTACAAGCATACACAAGGACCAGTGTTTTATGTTTGTGTCTATGAACTTGGACCTACTAGCCATGCTTGTCTGGGGTATCTCTGACTGGAGGATGTTGTGGACCTTTGATCACCGTTTCCTGAAGAATTTTGTTCCTGGGAAAATAGAACCCTTTAAAAGCTATTCCCTGTATCCCCCGTGTTATGTGCATGATATTAGTTTTTGGTTAGATGAGAAGAAACAATTTGATGAACTAGAGTTTCACACGGTGGCCCGAGCAGTGTCCCAGGACACTGTCATATCCATACAATTCCTTAGTCGTTTCCAGCATCCAAAGACTCGACAGGTCAGTCTCTGCTACAGATTGACTTACCAGACATGTGACAAGGCCCTCACCCCGCACCAAGTGGCATCAATGCAGTCCCAGTTTAGGAAGGAGATTCAGCAAAGACTACATGTAATACCTCGGTAGTTTAGTAAATTTACCTCTCAAGTGTGATCCTTGTGGGTATGGGTGCGGGTGCAGATGAAAAAGACCAATTTGGGGGGCCTGGATGGCTCAGTCGGTTAAGCATCTGCCTTCGGCTCAGGTCATGATCTCAGGGTCCTGGGATGGAGACCCACGTTGGGCTCCCTGCTCAGAGGGGAGTCTGCTTCTCTCTCTCCCTCTGCCCATCCCCCCCGCTTGTGTGTGTGCTCTCTCTTTCTCTCTCAAATAAAATCTTAAAAAAAAAAAAGAACAAGACCAATTTGTAACTGGTAGTCCTTTCTGGATTGTGTTTTTTGTAAAATCTTTTACCTTGTGACTCTAGCCAATGTTGGTTGACTCTAAAGAAACTTGGGGCTCTGTCACTTAAACTCATAGACTGTAATGTGATTGGTGACCTTTGGAGTTGTACCGTATTTTGATCCTGAGTCATGAGCAGGAAAACTAACAAAACAGTATCTTGTACTTTAGATGCTTTATTTGTGAAGATGCAATAGAACTTCAGCATATTTATATTTTTTCCACACTGCCAATTCCTCTTCCTTTATCCCAATATGTATTATCTCAATCAATTTATGAGAGTGGTTTTTGGAGTCAGACCAACATTTATTAGCTTGGGTAAGTTAAAAGTGCTCCATAATTAGTACGGGTATCATCATCATAACATTTATTCCATGGTTGACTACTGTTGAAGTTATGGAACTAATTAATGTCAGATTTAGAGTTCACACTTGGGTTTTTCTGACTCAAAAGCCCATGTTCCTTCTCCCATTGTTACTTCTCCTTCCCTAGTCTTCTTCACTAGTAACCTCTCTGCTGTGATTAACTCTAAACTTTGCCCTCCTAGATTTTGGAGCCTTCTGTTGTAAGCACCTCTCAGAGACACTGGGAGACTAGCTCAGCCCAGGACTCTACAGAATGGAGTCCTCTAATGTTAATTAATGTATGTTCCCATTAATTAATAGTTAGGCTCCGCAGATTGGAATTATATTGTAATCTCTGGGAAGGAAGTAACTGCCTTATTTGTTCGTGTATTTGGAGAAAAGCATGTAGAAAGGCAAGAATGGAAGCCAAGATACAAACTAGGAGGTAATTACGGTAATGCCAATGAGAGATAATGGTGACCTGGACCAGGGTGGTAAGATGTTGTTGGGCTGGGTAATATTTAAAAGGATTTGCTGATGAACTATATGTGTATGGGTGAAGGGTGCAGGGCTAAAGAAACAGGAATCAAGCAGGACTGACTGCGTGGTTTTTGACTTGGAAGAACAGAAGTATCATTAACGGGGATGGGAAAACTAGCATAACATTCTGGGGAGTGGGGTAAGGAATCAAGGGATTTTTTTTTTTTTAAAGATTTTATTTATTTATTTGACAGAGAGCTAGCGAGAGAGGGAACACAAGCAGGGGGAGTGGGAGAGGGAGAAGCAGGCTTCCCGTGGAGCAGGGAGCCCGATGCGGGGCTCGATCCCAGGACTCTGGGATCGTGACCTGAGCCGAAGGCAGACGCTTAACGACTGAGCCACCCAGGCGCCCCAGAATCAAGGGATTTCTTATGGACACATTTATTGCTTGTCTTTCTACACAGATTATAAACTAATTGAAGGCAGGTAATGTGATTATCGCTTTCTTTGTTTTTATTAGAGAGTACACACACATTTCTTATGAACACATTTATTGCTTGTCTTTCTACACAGACTATAAGCTAATTGAGGGCAGGTAATGTGATTTATAGCTTTCTTTGTTTTTATTAGAGAGTACACACACACCACACACACACACACGCACACACACCGGGTAGGGGTGGGGTTGTTGCAGAGGCAGAGGGAGAGAGAGAATCTCAAGCAGGCTCCACGCCCAATGCTGAGCCCAATGTGGGGCTTGATCTCATGACCCTGAGATCATAACCCGAGCCAAAACCAAGAGTCAGACGCCTAACCCACTGAGCCACCCAGGCATCCCTGATATATAGCTTTCTTCTACCCTAATAGTGCCTAGTACAGGGACAAGGTAGCATTTGAGCTGGATCTTAAAATAAGGGCAGTGATGTGATGGGAGGATTGTCAGGCAAGGAGGACATCCATTCTGGGCGGAGGTATAGATAAGGGAGCAGCTGAGGCACTTTCCAGGCTAGTTAGTTGGAATGTAAATGTGTAGAGGAAAGTAGTGGGAGATAAGATTAGAAAAGTAGGTTAGAGCTGGATTTAGCTGATTAAAGACAATGCTGGAATATGGGATTTGTACTTCATTTGGCAGGCAATGGGAGAACTGGTGATTTTTGATTAAGGGGGCAATACAGAGTAGTGCTTTTGAAAATTAATTAGACAGTGTTGCATAGGATGAATTTGAGATGAAGGACTTCTGTAAGGATGCTATTGTAGTACTCCTAGGTAGAGGCAGGGAGGGGCCTGCATTAGAGTGAAATGAGAAGGGGAATGAAAAAGGGATGTCTATAGGAGATAGGGCTAGGCTGGGATGTCTGAACTTGGTACCTAATGATTGCCTATAGGAATTGAGCAATATGATCAATCTCCATTTTCAATATTTATGAATTTTTAGTATGAAATAATAATCTGGGACCCTGTCAAGTCCAGCACTCCCTCTATATAACATTCTAAGTATATAGCAGTGTATATTAAGTTGATGGTCATTTAAGTTTGAACACCTAAAAGAACTTCATTTTCACTCCCCTCTCCACGTTTTATGTATATGTTGTCCTATTTTACATCTTTTTATTTTGTGAGTCCCTTTAATTTTTTTAGGTATAATTGATTTTACTACTTTTGTCTTTTAACCTTCATCCTACCTTTATAAGTGATTATTACCTTTATGTTTGCTTTTACTCATGAAATTTTTTCTTTCTGTAATTGTCTTCTACTTATTGCGCCCCCCCCCTTACAGAAGTCCCTTTAACATTTCTTGCAAGGCCCATTTCAGCACTCCCTGTACAAACGTTTCAGCTACTGCTACAGAGCTCCACAGGATGGGATAGAACGCTGTGATTGGGGGAGTGGGCAGGGTATCAGGAACAGATGAATAACCCCTGAGAGTCAGAGGTGTGCTATCAGGATCATATCAGAGGTATGACATCAGGATCTTCCTCCTAATCTTCTGGGAAAAGCATGGGCTTTGTAATAAGACAGACCTGAGTTGGAATAGGGCTCCACCATTTCCTAGCTATGCAACCTTGGGCCTCAGTTTACTTATTGATAAGAACAAGGTGGTTGTATTACATTTAAAAAGGATAAAGTATGTAAATTGCTTACCAAATTGCTGTAGTAGAATGGCAGTGCCAGGGGTCTGGTTGATTTGTTGCACAGAATTTCTTGAGGCTTTCATTTTCCTTATTCTATATTCTGCCATTACAGCTTTGTCTCTCTGAAGCAGTTAATTAGCCACAGGTGGTCTCTATCACGCTCCCCCAAAGACAGAGAGGGCCAGGTGCCAGTGACCTTTTAATGACCTCCCTTTCATCTGCAGCTGTGCTGTCATCTTTAACTGGATAAATACCTCTGCCCACTCCGTAGAGTTGTTTAGCCACTTTCCATTTGTGCTGAAGAGTGGAGGGAGAGAGAGTGGGACGGAGGGCGGAATGCCCAGAGTTACAAATATGTGGAAGGGATAGCTATGGTGGCGAAAGTCAAGTCTCAGGTCTCATTTCTTTTCTACTTCGGGATTTGCCCCAATTGGCCCAATAACTTTATAATTTAGTCTTGTCTGCGCATGTCAAGGTCTTTTGTCCCTCGGCGGACACCGTTGCCAGCCAAAGCTATGTCTCCGCGCTTGCCGCCTTCGTAGGGTGCCGAATTGTACCTTTTTTCCACGCGTGCCATGGCGAGCCGAGGGGCTCGTCAGCGCCTGAAGGGGAGCGGGGGCAGCGGCGGGGACACAGTCTCGGCCGCGGACAAGCTGCGGGAGCTGCTGTGCAGCCGTGAGGCGAGCGGCGCGGAGCCCCGGACCGAGTAGGTGTGCGGGCGCGGCGGGGGCGTGGCGGCCGGGCGGCGCGGCGCGGGGTAGCGCCGGAGGGTCTCTCGGGGCGGCGCGGGTCCAGCCAGGCCGCCTTTTCCCCCGGGTTCTTCTGCCCTTCCTGGACGGGTCACGTCCGGCCTTCGCCCCACCCTGGGCCCCCCATCCTGGGTCCCGTGTTTCTCGGGAAGAAAGCCTGGAGGGAGGCTCCGAGGCTGCTGGCCCAGGCCCAGAGCGGGCTGGCGTCATGGTGTTTGAGTTGGCCGAGCCTCAGTGGCAAGGGCAAAGAGCAGACCTTTTTCGGCTGTCTCTCTGTTTCCTTCATTGCCCGCAAAGTCCTAACCCCTTACTCTTCAGTGTGGGCCCCACAACCTCCGGCACCTGCAGCCGTCTGTCTCCCCAAGCCCGGGGCACTGCGGGTTAGGACCGCATTGAAGGAGCGGTCAACATATGGAACTGGAGGAGGTTACGTGCTTTGCACAAATTAGGCCTCTGTGCATTTGAACAAGTGGGGAAATGAATAAAGATGCATAATAATGACCTTGTTAAGAGAAGAAAGAAAAGGAGAACGAGAGCTTTGTGGCCTTCAAGGAGTGACATCGAGGCAATGAATTAAAGTGTATGAATGAGCTTACGCATTAAAAGCAGGAAGTGGAAAGAGTAAGATCAGTTAAGGTCTTCGTCCCTTCTGTATTCTACTTAGAACAACCAACTTCTTAGGTGAATTACTTAAGTGTGCTTTGATGTCCTTGCCATTCTTGTCGTTTCTGTCTAGTTTCAGCCTTTCTAGTTAGTAGGTCTTCCTGACACATCCTCCCTTTGCTTCTGAGCAGGTTATCTGGGAACAAAGCAGGACAAGTCTGGGCACCTGAAGGATCTACTGCTTTCAAGTGTCTGCTCTCCGCAAGGTTATGTGCTGCTCTCCTGAGCAACATCTCTGACTGTGATGAAACATTCAACTACTGGGAACCAGTAGGTGATTTCTTTAGTTTTCTTTTTTGTTGTTATTCTTGATTTCATTGCTTGGGACCTTGTTGCCAATCAATATACAAATAATATACAAGTGTGACTGGTAGTAAAGCAACTTTTTTTTTTTTTTAAAGATTGTATTTATTTATTTGACAGAGAGAGATAGCGAGAGCAGGAGCACAAGCAGGGGGAGTGGGAGAGGGAGAAGCAGGCCTCCCGCTGAGCAGGAAGCCGGACGCGGGACTGGATCCCAGGACCCTGGGATCATGACCTGAGCCGAAGGCAGACGCCTAACGACTGAGCCACCCAGGCGCCCAGCAACTTCATTTTCACTTTTGTATTTTAAGCTGATGATTTACCTGTTGTTGAAGGCCACAGGAAAATGGGGCTTTTTACAAAAAGATGTAATTCGTAACTTTCTTAAAAATTTATTTTAAATCAAAATAATACTTTGAGAAAATTTTTATTTTATTTTTTTTAAAAGATTTTATTTATTCATGAGAGACAGAGAGGCAGAGGCAGAGGGAGAAGCAGACTCCCCGCTGAGCAGGGAGCTGGAGGTGGCACTGGATCCCAGGACCCAGCTTAACCGGCTGAGCCACCCAGGCGCCCCTTGAGATAATTTTTAAAGTTAACAACTACTACAGAACTTAAAGGGAAAACAGTAGCTCTCTGTTCCACTTCTCATAGCCAAATCCTAGTCCCTAGAGGTGACAACTTTCAACTTTTTTGGTTATTTTTTATGAAATGTGCTAAAAATAGAAAAATGTTATTCAATAGTATGCTTATACTGCTATTTCATGATTTATACATATGTAAGTCTTCTGACTTCTTAGAAAATTCAGAGGTGAAATTTTCTGATCCCATTTTGCATTAAAAAATGCTTCGTGTAGGGGGAGAGAAGCAGACTCCCTGTTGAGCAGGAAGCTGATGCGGGACTCGGTCCCAGGACTGGCAGATTATGACCTGAGCCAAAGATAGCCATTTAACTGGCTGAGCCACCCAGACACCCTTTGGCTAATGAGTATTTTAACAAAATAAGTAGAGTGTAAAATTCAAGCTTTCGACATTGACCAAACAATAATCTTGTAGAAATTATAATGTCCTAATACTTTTCAGTATTGGGTCATTTTGATTCTTACCAGTTTCAAATCTTGTTGAGAACTTCAGCATTTCTGTGTACCTTTGTGTTATTAATATTTTGCTTGGAAACTTGGATTTTTGGCCAATTTAACCCTAAATCTGTTTTGTACTTTCAGACACACTACCTCATCTATGGGAAGGGGTTTCAGACTTGGGAATATTCCCCAGTTTATGCAATTCGTTCCTATGCTTACCTGTTGCTTCATGCCTGGCCAGCTGCATTTCACGCAAGAATTCTACAAACTAATAAGGTAAGGGCAGGCCAGCCTGGGAGTAATTACACCTGATCAAGAGATGAGTCTCTGGAACAGTTTTCAGAAAAGGACAAAAGAGACTGGTAGGTAGGAGAGGGCTTTTTTTTTTTTGAAGAGTAATCATTTATTCATTCAGCAAACATTAATGGAACAACTTTGTAAAAATTTTTTATTTTAATTCCGGGATAGTTAACATACAGTGTTATATTAGTTTCAGGTGTATAATATAGTGATTCAACAATGCTGTGTATTACTAGGAGCTCATCAAGATAAGTGTATTTTTAATTCCCATCACCTATTTCATCCCTCATTGCACCCCCTTCCCTTTGGTAACCATCAGTTTGTTTTCTGTAGTTGAGTCTGTTTTTTTTTTTTTTTGGTTTGTCTTTTTTCTTCATTTTTGTTTCTTAAATTCCATATATGAGTGAAATCCTATGGTATTTACATGTTTGCAAATGGCAAGATTTCATTCTTTTTTATAGCCAAATAATCCATTGTATGTATATACCACCTCTTTATTCATCTATCAGTGGACCCTTGGGCTGCTTCCATAATTTGGCTATTGTAAATAATGCTGCAGTAAACACATATATATGCATATATCCTTTCAGGTGCATATATCCTTTCAGTTTAGTGTTTTCATTTTCTTTGGGTAAATACCCAGTAGTGCAATTACTGGATCCTGTGGTAGTTCTATTTTTTAATTTTTTGAGGTACCTCCATATTGTTTTCCTCAGTGGCTGCACAGCTTGCATTCCCACCAACAAGTACACGAGTTCCTTTTACTCCACATTCTAACACTTATTTCTTGTGATTTTGACCATTCTGACAGATATGAGGTGATATCTCATTGTGGTTTTGATTTGTGATGAGTGATGTTGAGCATCTTTTCATGTGTCTGTTGGCCATATGTATGTCTTCTTTGGAGATACGTCTATTCATGTCTTCTGTCCGTTTGTTTGTTTTTTTTAAAGATTTTATTTATTTATTTGACAGAGAGCGAGAGAGGGAACACAAGCAGGGGGAGTGAGAGAGGGAGAAGCAGGCCTCCCACTGAGCAGGGAGCCCGATGCGGGGCTCGATCCCAGGACCCCGGGATCATGATCCGAGCCGAAGGCAGACACCTAACGACTGAGCCACCTAGGTGCCCCTTCTGTCCATTTGTTTTTAAAGATTTAGAGAGCGTGCACAGGGCGAGGGGCAGAGGGAGAGGGGGAGAGAGAATCCTGTAGCAGACTCCCTGCTGAGCTGGGAGCCCAACACAGGGCTTGATCCCAGGACCCTGAAATCATAACCTGAGCTGAAATCAAGAGTTGGCTGCTTAACCAACTGAGCCACCCAGGTGCCCCGACCTTGCCCATTTTTAAAATTGGATTATTTGTTTTTTCCTTTGTGTTGAGTTGTAGAAGTTTTTTATATGTTTTGGATACTAACTAATGGACCACATTTTGTCTGGTAGGCACTTTAAGTGCTGTGTATGTAACAGTGGCCAAATCCCTGCCCTCAAGGAATTTATAGGTTAGTGGGGAGGATGGATGAATATTGAACAAGTAATTATAAATGCAGTGGGCCTTATGGAGGAAAAGTACAGTGTACAATGGGATAGCATATTAGGAGAGCCTAATTTAAACAGTGCTGAAGGATAATTAGGAGTTAATGGAGATCTAACCTGATTACCTTTCAGAAATTTAACTGTGATGGGTCTTGGCATGGATATTTTTGGGTTTATCCTGTTTGGAATTTACTAACCTTGAATTTTTAGGCTTATGTCTTTTGCCAAATTTGGGAAGATTTTAGCTGTTATTTTTCTGAGTACTTTTGTCAGCCCTGCCCTGTTTTTCCTTTCCTGAGAGTCCAATGATATCAATGTTAGATGTTTAATTATAGTCCCACAGGTCTCTGAGGCCCTATTCATTTTTTTTCAAGTCTATTTTCTCTGTGTTGATTGAGCAATTTCTAATCTTCCAGTTCACTGATTGTTTCCTCTGTCCCCTCCATTCTGCTCTTGAGCCTATCTGTTGAGCTTCTATTTTGATTATTATACTTTTTTAGTTTTAAAATTTCCATTTGGTTTTTCTTTATATATTCTGTTGCTTTACTGCCACTTTCTATTTCATGTTTCCAGTGTGTTCTTAATTGCGCATTGAAGCATTTTTACAACGGCTCCTTTACAATTTTGTCAGATAATGCTAACTTTTATTTCATCTTGTTGGTATCTGTTGATTATTTTAATTCAGTCTGAGATTTTCCAAGTAATTTTCAGTTGAAATGTGGACATTTGGGGGACTATGAGACTCTGGATCTTATTCATGGGCCCGGCATGCTTCCTCTGCATCTTTGGGTCTTATTGAAGCCTTCTGTTTTGTCTGCTGCTCTTGATACCACTCTAGCAGGAGAAAGGAGGGTGTTCTCCACCTTTGTTATTGCCAGGTGGGGGTAGAAGTTGAGGTTCCTCACTGGGGTAGGGGTACTTCATTACTGCTAGGGTGGGGTGGGGAGGTGAAGTCCAGATTTATCTACGTGGTCTCCACTGACAGTGTGACCAGAGAGGGAGCTTGTTACCACCAGTGAGGTTGAAAGTCCTGGCTTCCTACTGGGCTTTTGATGGCATGGGTGGGAGTTGAGCTACATTTTTTTTTTTTTTTTTTTCCCCTGGAGTGCTTTGCTGGAGTAGCATGGTTATTGTCTAAAGGTTTTCTGTCTTGTTAGGCTACCCCTTTCTTGGCCTTTTGGTGAGATTGACCAGGCTTTGGTTGGTGTTTATGCTCTTTGGCATTTCTAGCTGCCAACTTCTTTAGTTCTAAGTCTAGGATATAGAAGGTGAAAGAAAACCCAGGGAACTTACCATTATGTTTTTCCTCTGGTCTTAAAGCCCCTAGGCAGTCTACTACTTTCTCTCTACCTTGAGTTGTGGTAGGTTTACTTTACTTATAATGTCCAGAGTTTTTGGTTTTACATAGCAGGAGGAAAAGGGAAAAGTATGGCTGATCCATCTTCCATGAAGCAGAAGTCTCTGATGACAGAACTAGAGGGTTACTAGGAATCATCTAGGTAAAGGAAGAATGGGGATGAGGGAAGAAAGCCATGAGGCTGGGAGGAGGGCCAGCATGGTCTTCTTTTATAAATAGGCTTGATGCTTGGAAGAGACAGTGGTGGAGTGGGTTTTGTGATACTGAAAGGTAGGAGGAGGCCAGATTTATACGACACCTGGTAAGCTCTAGTAAGCAGTTAGACTTTTATCCCCCACCCGCCCCAAGGGCGTTCTGAAGCCGTCCAGAGGTTTTAGATAGAGGCTAGACATGATTGCATTTGCATTTTAGACTGATCAGAAAGGTAGCACCTTAGAAAGTGACAGAACTCTGTCCTCCTTCCCTTCCCTAAGTAGTAGTTCCTTTCTGTTTTTTTTTTTTGAACTTAGCAGAGGAAAGGTGTACAGGATGAGGTCTTAGTAGAGAAATAACAATATGCAATGCTTAAGGCTTCTGTGTCCTCTTGGGTATCCACTGTCACTTCCAATTTGACCTGTTTAACAGAATCCTTCACCTCCTAGCACTCTTCCTCTTATTTCAATGACCTGAGCAGGAAGCAGAACTGGAATGAAGATTTCCCTTCTTGTTCTTCCTTATAATCTCCTTTCTGTTAGGTTCTGCCAATGGAAGCCAATAGGGGACCACTTGACAAGGAGGAATTAGAGCTTATAGAGCCCCAGCCCCAGCAGCATCTTGCACAGCCAAGAGGGTGGATTGTTGCTGAAAGGCAATCTGGTAATAATTGGCACCCCTAGTGATGGTTACCTTTCCAAATTCTTGCCACCCTAAACAAGAATACCTGTTTTGTCTCCCTATGGATCTGGGTGTCAGTTTCTCTGAACTACGTACTCAGCAGTGGGAGCCCATATATATATGGGCTACTTAATTTCATGGAGTATTGCCAGATTGCCCCCAGCGTGACTGTGCAACTTTACACTTCTGCAACAGTGTTCCATGTTTCAGCCACCTCACATCTCCTGAGCACTTGATATTTCTGACTTGTTAATTTTTGCCCTTCTCATGTATGTGAAATGTTTCTCGTTCTAATTGCATTTCTTTGATTACTTGTGAGGTGCAACATTTCATTTGTCATTCATATTTCCTTTTCTGTGAATTATGTATTCCTGTCCTTTGGCTGTTTTGCAGTTGGGTTTTCTGGTTTTCTCTCTTGATTTGTAGAAGTTCTCCATGGTCACCCCTTGTAGGTTTTAGATACTGGAAATCTTTTAGGCTGTCACTCTATTTTGTCTGCGGACCTTGTGTTGAGCAGAAATCTTTAATTTTGATACAGTTAAGCCAATTAGTTTTTCACTTAAAAGTTGGTGGGTTTTGGGTCTTTCTAAAAGAAATCCTTCACCACAATTCACAAAGATATCCTTACATATTTTCTTAGCTTATAATTTTACCTGTCACATAAAAGGCTTTAATACATTTGAATATTTTTTTAAAAATATATATATATTTTT